GCATAGGTTAGTTGCTTTTCCACAATTGCCTTTGTTCATCTTGTTTAGGATTTAGGTTTTGCCACTTTCTTAGGTCTTCATTTCCTCAAAGAGGCTTCCGGGACACATAAAACTTCTATTAATAACTTAGTATGATTTCTCCAGTTAATATAATTCTCAGGCCTACCCCAAACCTTAACCCTATGGTAGAGGTTAAAAATCTGCTTTTTCTACAAATATAGAATATGAACAAGAGTCTTAGAGTCATGTTATCTCTGGCTCTCATAGTTAATATTTTTGTAAACTTGTGTAAATTATTTAACAGTGTAACCCCCAGTTAATTAATGAAGCATAAGTAATCACCTTGCACAATTGTTGAAATGGAATTTTTGTACTGGAACCCGGATTTTATTTTTTCTGTCAGCAAAGGTGGAGATTTGTTGAAGAACAAGTACAGACTCCCACATGGGGAGAAGGAACGAGTCTCACAGAATGGACTCCCATGTGGAGAGTGGGAAAGTGTCCCAGAGTTATTTTCCCTGTGGCTTATAAAGGCTGCAGGTCCTGGTGCCTTGATGTCCCCTTGGGTTGGTCAGTGTTTTCTTAGACTGGTTACTATAGTAACTCCTGGGCTCACAGGTTGAACCGTACATGTGACATGTGAGGTTCCCTCCCTCCTTCCTTATTGTTTTCCAATTCCTTGGGACTTTCTTCTCCTTTTTAAAAAAAATATATTTTTTTGATTTTTACAGAGAGGAAGAGAGAGGGATAGATAGAGAGTTAGAAACATCTATGAGAGAGAATCATTGATCAGCTGCCTCTTGCACACCTCCTGCTGGGGATGTGCCTGCAACCAAGGTACATGCCCTTGACCAGAATCGAACCTGGGACCTTTCAGTCTGCAGGCCCATGCTCTATCCACTGAGCCAAACTGGTTTCGGCTTCTTCTTCTTCTGGATGAAGGGCTTCCTTCCCTTTATTTTGTAAATATAGACCTTTTGCTGTTCCAGATCCCTCATTCTATGAACATGTACTTGTTACAGCTTTTCAGCTTCCCTATTTTATGGAAAAATACCTTCTGCTGCTCTGCAGCCCTGTGCTTCCTCTATGGTCCCCTTAATTTCTAAAATTCCCTAAACCTGTCCTATTTTACCCCTAAAATTCCTGTTTCATTGTGAATATTAAAAAAGGGACAATGAGTACATCTATTATCATAATGCAGAGTCCTGCTCCTGATTATAAACCTGGGTGTGACTTTCGAGGTCTGGCCTAGGCAATTATAAAGGTTTTATCTGGCAGGCCTCATGGGGGAAGGCTGCCATCCTTATACCAGACTTGGTACATGACTACTACATTACAATTGTTAAGAGGAAGTGCAGTTGAGGACTCAAAGGCCCTGAGCTGCTCCTGCTCTCATACATATTTGCAATGCTAGCTCTTAGCCCCAGAGCATGTATTCTTTTGTCTCTTTATCTGAAGCCATGGGCCTAGGTCCTCTTCACATGCCTCTACAAAAGCCTTCCTATGAGAACACATTTTTCCCCTACCGCAAGCACTGAGTATTTTCCCACTCTGAGTCATCAGCCCTCATACTGCTTCTTACCCCTGGACCCGTAACACTGCTGGAGCCTTTTGTTCTGGCCTCCTCAGCAGTGAGGGGATCTCAGGTCTGTGCTGATCCACCTGACACTCTACCTGTGTGCCAGTCCATTTGCTCTGTTTTTAGCCTTGCTAAGACCATCAAAGTACGCAAATAAAGACAATGCTTTTGGGGAGGCTAAAAGGCTAATTCCAATCTAACCCTGATATTTGGAGGGGAAGGGTAGAGAGAGGAAAAAGACTAGCAATTTGAATCTATGCTAGCAAGCCCAGTGTACATTCTTGATAACCTATAATTAAGTCACTACCTCTTTCCCAGAAACTGGTTTTGCAGAACCTGTTATTGAAATACAAAGGCTATAAAACTGTGAACAGTGCACTGCCCCCCCCCCGGGGGGGGCCAGGGTGGTAATTAAAGCTGGCACCAGGCCAGACCATCAGATATGGTCTCAAGACCCCAACACCTGGGGCCTTTTAGCAAAACCTGTGAAAAGACCCAAAGCATAATACATATCTGTGGGACAAAGACCTCAGAAAGATATAAGAGTGAAGCCCCCTGCATGTTACTTTACTCAGATTTGGGACGTCATTCTGCTCAGTCCACCAACGTAAATAAACAGTGTAACTCCTTTTCTCTAAAAGCATTGCTTGATTTTTTCTTTGGTCTTCTGTAACGCTTTCATTTTTGGGTTTTTCCTAACAGGTTGCTCAAACACCTCATAACTCAGAGCTAACCTCTCTCTCTCTCTCTCTCTCTCTCTCTCTCTCTCTCTCTCTCTCTCTCTCTCTCTCTCTCTCTCTCTCTCTCTCTCTCTCTCTCTCTCTCTCTCTCTCTCTCTCTTGTCTCCCAGTTCAACTAGGCTCCTTCTTGCCTGGCACACCTTAAACATTCCTCCAGGATTAAACTTAAACATACAGAGGGTTAGACACACATGCATAAATTAGAGATATAAGGAATATAAAGGGAAGCATTACGGGTATCTATTACCTAGCCATTATATCCTCTGTGGAAATACGTTGAAATGAATTGTTTACCTCAGAGTAGAAACTCAGTAGGTGATACAGTAAAAAACAGAATTTGAGATTCCTTCCTTGAGGTCAAGCATTCCTGTCCTGTTACTTTTAGAGTCTTTTGTAATCTTTATTGTCAACTTTTCTATTTGCAATGATCTATTGATAATTGGCAGAGCCCGTATCAGGCAACCTGGTATTTAATCAAATGCCAGTTTATGCCTTTAAATCAATGATTAATGTTAAAGTGCATATTGAATGTTACATTACTATTAGAATTCAGCTAACTCACAGATTAATTAGAATTTTGGGTTTCTCCTGGGAATACACACTTCTATCCAGAATTAGATGTCTATGATTAAAATGGTTTTTTTTAAATCCAAGTAACATTTGCCCCCTTAAATTAATCAGAAACAGTACTGCATCATTTATGTATACAAATAAAAGAATTAGCAGCAAAATAATATGTGTGTTTGTGAATTATAACATATATTGCATATAAACAGACATCTGTGCTTGTGTATGTGTGTATGTATAAAGTAATTCACACTCACACACACCTACTATAGTTTATAGTAAGACATGCATTTTGATAATATGAAATATTTCAAATAGTAAAACATTTATTTTGTTGTTGTTGTTGTTGTTGTTGTATTTTAACAACTTGTTCTTCTATATTTATGCAAAAACCAAACTGGTCCACACTTTGCAAGTAATAAGTGTAATTAAAAAAGAAAAAAAAAAGAAAAACAAAAAAAAACATGTAGAACACACAATCAGTTAAGAAGTGCAAATTCAAGTTTAGAAGAGAAAATTATTCTTGGAGTACGTCAAATCACATCCTTAGGGAAGCAAAAGCAATCGGAGGGAAGCCAACTATTTTGCCACATTAGAAATATACATAGAGTGCAGAGAGATGGCAAAGGTGCACACCACCTTGAACTAATGAATACTAAATATTATTCACATACTAGAGACTTGATGCACAAAATTCGTGCACTCGAGAGTCCCTCAACCCAGACTGTGCCCTCTTGCAGTCTGGGAGCTCTTGGGTAATGTCCAAGTGTCAGCTTAGGGGAGCAGGCCGAAGCTGGCAGCCGGTCATCCTTAACACTGACTTCTAGCAGGAGAGGCTCACGCCACTGCTGCTACACTCTCCAGCCTTGAGCCCAGTTCTGGCTGTGGGAGCGCACTGACCACCAGGGGGCAGCTCTTGTGTTGAGTGTCTGCCTTTTGGCGGTCGGCGTGCATCATAGCAATCAGTCATTTCTCGTTCAGTTGATTTGCATACTAGTTTTTTTATTATATAGGACTATGAATGTCACACTGTATTTATCTTAAATAAAAAAACACTATAAATATTGCTGTATTATAAAATCATCTTACTACATATAATTTACTTAGATAGATTTCCCAAATTTCATAATTTGTATATGCTATTACCTTATGAAACATGTACAATTATGTAAATCAACTGAGAAAAGTGACCGATTGTCTGAAACTCAGTCATTCTGGTTATTTACAGCCACAGGCACTTCAACTTTTATGCCCAGAAAAAAGAAGGACATAAAGTTTTCAGGTTAATTTGTACCCCAAAAAATATAATCATCTGATCCTTTATAATAAAAGGCTAATATACAAATTGTCCCCTCAACCAAGAGTTTGACCTGAAGTTTGACCAGGTGGTGGGGCCGGCTGGCCAACTGCCCACAGCCCCTCCCCCTGGCCCTCCTGGCCTGATCGGTCCCAATTGGGGCAGGCTGGTCACACCCCACCCATGCACGAATTTGTGTATGTGCTATTATCATATACAATAACTTGTATATGGTAATAGCATATATAAATTATTGTACATAATTACCTAAAGTGCTATTACAAATAGAAAAAAAGTGCCTCTCAATTTAAACTGAATAATTAAGTCAAAAAGGAAAAGGAAAAAAAAAAAGATAGTGAATCCAACATTGAAAGTTCAAGTACTAAGAAGTTTTCAACGATCAGCAAATTTTAATAAAGCTAGCGTTTTCTTTCATTATAACAGCTATTGGTCTTTAAATGAACCCAATAAAAATTAAAAGCATGACATAATTCTGTTTTACACAAGACCTGTGCAGATTTACACTCAAGAATAGACTTATTAGTTTTTAATACCTTCAAGGAAGACTAAAATCTGAAATAAGAGAGGTGCTCTTTTTATAGTATAAATTGACAATGTCTCAAGGCATGGACATAGAAAAGAATTACAACTGTTATAAACTTGCTCTCTAGGGCAGCTTATGTCATGAGACTGAAGCCATTGAGTCACTAAAGGAACTTGTAAAGATCACAGAGTATTTTAGTTGTTAAAATGATGCTAAACTCTATAATAAAGGAAAGATAGTTTTTTCAGTTCCATATGTATATTTTTTAAATAAAAAAATATGGAACCCTTCACAAATTTGCATACCATCCTTGCACAGGGGCCATACAAATATTCTCTATATTAATCCAATTTTAATATATGTGCTGCTGAAGTGAGCATCAGTCCACAGATTTTTTAAATCAAACTTAAATTGGTATTGCATATAGGCTAGGCAGAGATTTCATAAACTGTAAAAATTGTACATTATCTTCTAACATGAAAGTAACAAGGATAACTTCTCCAAATATCTCAATGCACACACACATGCACATATACACACATATTTATTAAATAGGAAAAATTAAATATAATATTAAAATAACATATATTTACATCTCTTTCATATATATATCATATATATTATATATATATTACATATATATAATATATATGATATTATATATATATATATATATAGAGAGAGAGAGAGAGAGAGAGAGAGAGAGAGAGAGCCAGCAACCGGCATGCTGTAACAAGCAGAATGACTGGTTGCTATGATGCCCACAGTGGCCAGTGTACTGGTTGATCAGGGATGGGGTTGGAAGGCAACCTCCCATGGTCCTGTCCCCTGGCCAGCCCACCCCAAATCATCCCCCCATACCAATTGGGGGCAGAGCTGACAGGCCCACTGCCCACAGCCCCTCCCCATAGCTGGCCCCACCCCCAATCAGCTCCCACTGCCCCAATTGGCCACAGCCCCTCCCCCAGCCAGCTTTGCCCCTGATTGCTCCCCCCCATTCTAATCAGGGGCAGTGCTGGCAGCCAACCACCCATGGCCCCTCCCTCTGGCTGGTATTGTGCTCTATCCACCACCCCCCCATTATGAATCAGGGGCGGGACTGTCTGGCCCACCGCCCACTGCCCCCCTCCCACAGCCATTCCAACCCTGATTGGGCCCCAACTGGGGCCAGGCCAGCCAAACTCCACCTGAGCACGAATTCATGCACTGGGCTTCTAGTATATAATATTTCAATCATTTAGCAATAGCTTCATTTTCTTCCAATGATATAAAATAACATTGTCTCTGGCTATAGCTTTACTAGCTTAAAAAATAAAAATCTGACAAATAAGGTATGGAAGTATAACATATGGCCAGGCAACCAATTAATAAGAGCTTATGAATTTATTTTTATTTAATTTTTTTAAAGCAGTAAGATAAAACAAAAATAAAATATTCATTATTCCTTTGGAAATTTCAAACTATTTGAAAACTTTAACTTATCAAATATAAACATTGTATAATCATGTGTTAAAAAATGGGACCTTAGAAATTACTTTATATTCAATAATCAATGAAGTACCAACAGGTCCTTAATTAAAAATGCTGTTGAATACAAGAATAATATATATATATATATATATATATATATATATATATATATATGCTAAGGATGGAAGGCAAGGGAGATAGGAAGAAAAAGAGTGATGAACACAGAGTATTTTAGTTGTATTTTAAAGGAGGAATCACTTAAAAATATAAATTTCATTATAAAAGTGATAGTTAGAAACATTTAACTAAAACACTGAAGAAAACAGGAGTCAGTACAATATGCTTCTGATATTTGTGGGGATAAATCTTTCTGAAGACCTGGGTGAAGAGTAGTAAAAATCAAAGTTGGATATACAAAACTGTGGCCAGATCCTATTAATAACAATAGTTTTATACCAACAGAGATCTAGAAGATCAAAATGTGCTATCTTTCAGAGGAGGTAAATTACAATTTTATTAGACTAGTATTAAGTAAACACTAAATTATTATAATTCTATTTTAATATGAAGATTATTTCCATATTGATTATATTGACATTCTTAGCCATAATTGAAAAATTATACAGTAAGTATAATGGGAAAAGTTTGAACTAAATTCAGAAAAGTTGGCTATGCTTTTCCTTTGATTTCTTACTCAATAGCTATTTACATTCAATATTTTCTACTCAAAAGTTGTTTTTACCTTAGTTAACATGTCTGTGTTTCTGAGCTTCCATCTGCAAATTTTAGTTTATGATATAACACTACCTGTCTCCTGAGGCTGTTTTGTAAATTAAATTTGATAATTAATGCAAAGAGTTTGGCATTTAGAACATGACACATAGCTGGCACATAAAAGAACTTAACTGTTAAGCTAACATTATTGCTATTCCCATGCAGTCCGCCAGCATATTTCCTTCAATTCGAGTGTATTTTAAACATTGGCTAAGAACTATTGTTTTACTCACTTGTGCCTTTTTTTCAGAGAAATTCTTCCTCCACATCCCTATTCGTAACACTCAAAGATAAACAAACTTGCACTTGTTGACAAAGCTGTGGGGAAATAAGTAGCTGTGAAAATTAGAACAAATATTAGGGAGAAAATCAGCAGCAGCATGTATCACATGCCAAAGGATAGTTCATGTATCTTGACCTGGTATCAGTACATCAGAATTCTTATAAAAATGTGAGGGAGTTTTATTCACAAAGACACACAAGTATTACTTAAAGTTTAGTACCATTGGAAAAATTCAGATGTTCATGCAGAAAAATGGTTAATTAATATGTAAATTATGGTACATCTTCCTAATAAAAGCTATATGCACATTAGAAATTATAATTAGGAAAAAATATGAAGCATTATTGAGAAAAATGGATATAATATATTCAGTGAAAAGAGATGCTATAATAGGATATTAATGTATATTATGATGGTAATTTTGCAAAAATATATATGCATAATAAAAAACACTGAAATGGTATGCACACAAAAGAAAATATTTGCTCTATTAGCCTAGTGGAACTAATGATTTTTCTTTCTCTCACATTCTGTAACACCCTAAATTTTTTAAATAAAAATTATAACTGCATTGTTCCAACATTAATTCCATAGTACTCTATAAAAAATATCAAGTTTCTTATCATGCCAGACAGCATCCATCACCAGTTTTTCATAATCTGCTTTCTAGGCTCATAGTCTGTCATTCTAGTTCATGTGTATGATTTCTCTGTCATACGCAATTTCCCATTGTTTTCCCAAATGTTATGCATAGGTAGTTCTGCTTTGGAAGGCAGTGAGCTATGGATTAACACAATTTATTATAATAATATGAATGACAATTAGAACTCTGAACGTGACATTATTTAATATCTATGCTTCATTTTCCTCCGGTATAAAATGGGGATGAGGTATGATGAAAGTATGTGTAACATAGAATTGAGTTAGGATTATGAATTAATACAAACAAAGCACTTAGATCTATGATTGGCACTTAATCAGTACAATATGGATTTAAGTATCATTAAAAAAGTGAAATTCATCAGGCATGCACTCTACTAAAAGGTTTCTGTTTCATTTTTAAGCAATTTTATCTGTGCTCTTATTTAACTATTTCAAGAATTCCATAATAGAGATAATATTATTACATTGATATAGATATGAGGAAATCAAGGTCCAAGCAAACTGAATAAGTTATGTGTAGTAAAAGAGTTAAGGACTATGCAAAGGAAGTGATTCTTATTTAACACTGAACATATGTTGTCTTTATTTCTATTTTATTATATTAGGGACAAAAGGAAGAACATTGCCATTTTTCTGATTTTAAATCCATATTTTTCCATTTCATCCTACTGTATTATTTAGCATTCCTGGCAAAAAAAATGTCACAATATATTTGGAAATGTTCATACTAAATATATTTTAATCTGTTAACATTTATGAAATTATTCTCTAATGAAAGTATAGTAGATTGCTGTTTTCAATTTTTTAAAGTTAATATAAGCTTTAAGTGTCCTGGGTATACATTAATATCTGTTTCTCAAAATGATACATTATTTCTCCAAATATAGACAAGACGAAGTATGGTGCATTGCCATTGTAACCATTTGTAATCATAAAGTTCAGTGCTATTAAGTGCATTCATATTGTTGTGCAACCATCACCAACACCCATCTGCAAAACTCTTTCTTGTCTTGCAAAACAAACTCAATATCCATCAAATAATAACTCCTGCTACCCACTGCCTCCAGAGGAGGCAGCCACTGTTCTACTTTCAGCATATATGCACTTGAGTACTCTTACTACATTATGCAAGTGAAATCACTTAGTGTAATGTCCTCAAGTTTCATCCATGCTCTAGCATATGTCAGAATCACCTTGTTTTTTAAGGCTAAATAGTATGTCATTTTGTGTATATTCCAAGTTTTATTTATCCATTCATTCACCAAATAGATACTTAGGTTGCTTCAACCTTTTGCTATTGGAAATATGTTGCTATAAACATATGGATATGAATAAATATAAATAATATAGCTATAAAATAAAAACCCAGTGGTTATAATGCTGTAATGGCCAGACAGGTCACCAGGAGGTATATTGAGGTCCTGCAGTGCCAGTGGGACTTAACACTGGGTCCCGTAGTGCACTGGGTCTGGGTCTTGTGTGATTTCACGTGCTGGGCCTCTAGTATAAATATAAATATAGAAAAAAATAGAAATAGAAATAGAAATAGAAATAGAAATAGAAATAGAAATAGAAATAGAAATAGAAATAGAAATAGAAATAATAGAAATAATGTACTAGTAGAGGAACAGAGAGAGACTCTTCTTTAGATTCTTTTGAGTATATACCCAGAAGTAAAATTGCTGAATAATATGGTAGTTCTGATCTTAATTTATTGAGAAAACACCATACTGCTTTCTGCAGTGGCTACACCAATTTATATTTTCACTAACAGTGCACAAGAAATTGTTTCTTCATATCCTTGCTTATTTATAACAATAACACCTTATTTTCCGTGTTCTTTATAGTAAATGTAAAATATCATATTGTGCTTTTCATTAGCCTTTCTATAATGAATAATGGTGTTGAGACTCTTTTTATATAATACTAGAGGCCTGGTGCATGGGTTCATGCACTGGTAGGGCCCCTTGGTTTCTAAAGATTGGGCAAAAAATGCCAGTCGAACGCTGCCTGCTGCTCCTGCCTGCCACTCTTGCTCATCCTAGCCCAGCTATGCCTGCCACCACTGCGTATAAGTGGGATTATGCAATATTTATATCACTGCATCTGGCTTATTTCAGTTAGCATAATATCTTCTACCTTCTGTTCGTGAAAATGTAAAATTGGTACAGCCATTAGAGAAAACAATGT